GTAGGCGATGGTTTACTGGGTGGCTACCAGCCCATTAAAAATTCATGTGATACTTGACGCAAGCTTGCAAAAGGAAGTATTCGACACTCTCCGGCATCGCTATGAGTGACGCTAACTCTACCAAGTTTTTAGGCAGATATATACCCAGTAACTAGGACGAGGGGACGATTGGCAGCGTAGCCAATGGGCACAGCATCGGCAGCATCATCTATAGGCTGAAGATATATGGCGGCGGCTAGCGGTCTTTTTGTCCATTTTACTGTCTTCATAACAATTTTACAGTTGCTTTAACAGCCCTACATTACTAGAAATACTGTCGTTTCTACGTCCATCTGCTTCACTTTATGTTGACCTTCCATAAAGTTGCGTAATGCTTATAAACTATGGCTTTTGTATACATAACATTTCAGTTCGCACAAAGTTTACTGATTCTCTTTAGGTATTTGGCTGATCATGACAACGATTTCAAATTATTTGCATGCGTTAAGGCACTTTTTTTATAGTATTGGATTCTTTTTTTTTTTTAGCCTTCCAGTGTACCTACTTCGGACTGGCCCCCCTTCAATGTACCTCCGGCAAGTAGCTTATCTCAACATAAATATTCAGTATTTGACATAAAACGGTAGTGTTACGTATCATTTCATTTCATTTTATTACCTTAAAGACCCCACTAGGAGGTGTTACATAAGGGGTGGATGTAGAGAAATTATACAAAAAAGAAAATGCTAACCATGTATGTTAATTGCGAGACAGACAATGTGTTACATTGTGTAAAAATAAACTCAGGCAGGTAATGGCGGCAGTGCTATGGGAAAGGTCGTTTCATTCAGATGATGCCCGTGGAAAGAAGGAGGCAGAAAATGTCTTGGTGTGGCTGCGTGGACGGGTGACTTGTAGGGCATGACCGGTGCGATGAGATATGCGGGCTGGAGTGGTGATAAAGTCCGGTCGGTCACGTGAGCTGTAATAGAACTTATGGAACAGAGCTAGGGTGGCGATGCGACGACGAAGTGCAAGAGTTAATAGAGATGATTCTTCTTTCAATGATGACACACTGACATGATAAGAATAGGATGAATGAATAAATCGTACCGCGCGGTTCTGCAGTGCCTCAAGTGAATTTGTTAAGTAAGCCTGAGGCGGGCTCCAAATGGCAGCCGCATACTCAAGCTTTGGCCTGATAATTGATTTGTAGGCTAGAAGTTTCAGGTGTTTGCGAGCGTGGCGTAAATGACGTTTCAGAAATCCAAGTGATTTGTTAGCACCCGCCATTAGGTTAGTGACATTCGCACCCCACGTTAGATCATATGACAATGTTACACCTAGATACTTATAAGATTTGACTCTGTCCATGTCAACATTACCGAGTGTGTGGGGAAAAGTTAAAGGGTTTTGACGACGTGAGAAAGATAATGATTCGCATTTAGTTGGGTTAAGTGTCATGAGCCAATTGTCACACCATGCTTGAATAGAGTCAAGATCATCTTGAAGTGCTTGCGGCTCAGATAGATTAGTAATGTTACGATAAATGACGCAATCATCGGCGAAAATGCGAATGTGACATGAAACGTGCAAAGGTAAGTCGTTAATGCATAGTAGGAACAGTACAGGACCTAACACCGAACCTTGGGGAACACCGGGCATAACTGGAAGAGGGTTAGAAACACACTCATTAACAAAAACTGATTGGGAGCGATTCCTCAGAAATGCTGCAATCCGATTAAGAACGTTAGGTTTAATGTTTAAGCTAGAAAGTTAAAAAAAAGGAGCTGATGAGACACTTTATCGAACGCTTTAGCGAAATCTAAAAAGATGGCATCAGTCTGCTGGTTACAGTCTAAGTTTAAGTGTAAATCATGAAGGAAGTTAGCTAGCTGAGTTTCACAGGATAGACCTTTGCAAAAACCGGGCTGTGAAGGATTAAAAAATCATTTAGGTCTAGAAAGGTTATTATTTGTGAATAAATTACATGTTCCATGATTTTGCATGGTATCCTTGTTAACGAGATTGGACGATAATTTAATGGTGAATGCTTACTGCTAAATTTATGGATGGGAACGACCTTTCCCACTTTCCAGTCATCTGGCAAGCGACCTGTTGAAAGGGATTGAAAAACAAAAGACACAAGAAAGCAGCCGAAATGTTCTTAGTATTAAGCAAAAACTTCGAATTAATTTCGTCAAAACCAGCTGATGATGTTAACTTGAGACGTTCTATGCAAGATATTATGCCATCAGTGGAAAATACAATGTCAGGCATTGGTAGTTCGCTGGTAATACACCGAGATCTTAGTACAATCGGAGGCATGGCATGGTCATTAGTAAATACACTTGCGAAGGCGGTGTAAATACGTCCGCACATTCTGCGTTACATATAACATCAATGTTTTCATTAGCTAGTTTTATCGTGTGTTTTTGTTCTGGGTTAATCTCCCGCCAAAATTGCTTAGGGTTTTGTGTTAGCATAGAAGAAAGGTCGTTGTGAAAAAACTTGTACTTAGCGTTTTGTATTGCCGTGAGGTATTCGGTTTCCGCTGAGTAGTCCTTATCCCACAGAAGTGGGTTGTTGCTCTGTTTAGCAGCTCGGAAATATCTTTTTTTCTTATTTTCTAGTCGCTTCAGTGATTTGTTGAACCATGGTTTCTTTTTGTTAGCACAGAAACTACATACCGGAATATACTTCTCAATTAGCTCTAGCACTTTGCTCTTGAAAAGCAACCAGTTTTCTTGCACTGCATGATTACTAAATTGCGTCTCGAATACCGGGAAAAAGCAGGTTAGCTCGCTGTTGATAGCTTCATAATTGGCCTTATCACAAAGTCAAATTGTTTTTTTGTAAGTTTCACATACTAGTGCGGCAAAGTTAAAGGTTGCATGAACAACCTTGTGGTCACTTATTTTCCTTAAAAGTGTTATGGATGTCATAGAGTCGGGGTTGTTTGTTAGTATCAAATCTAGGGTGTTTGACGAGCTCTGTGCGACGCGCGTTGGTTCAGTTATCAACGGACGAGAGGTTCAAGTTCAGACACACATCAACAAAGTTAGTTGCTTCTGGGCTAAAAGTTGTGTAGTTATGCCAGTCAATGCGAGGATAATTGAAATCTCCGAAGAGAACGATGTCAGCGTTTGGATGCACTCTTGTAAGAGTGTTTAGAATGCTGTTCTGTTTGCACGGGAAATCGGGGTTACTTTAGGGCTGGCCTATAGCAAACGCCCAAAAGTACGGTTCGCAGTACCGCGCGGCAGATAATCCATAATATTTTAATGTCCGAATCAGATGTGTAATACTGAAGATGATAGGTGCTGATTCACTGCCACAAGGACCCCACCCCTACGTTCATTTGTGCGATCTTTGCGATAAAAATGGAGGTTAGGCAAATCGGATAGAATTTCATCGTCACTGATGTTGCTATGTAGCCACGTTTCAGTTAATATGAGCACATTGCTGATAGACGATAGACAACATTTATATAAGCTGACGTTTCGGCAAGAAGCTGCGAATATTAGTAAGTATTACAGACAATGTAAGGTTAGCCCGAGGAACTTTGCTATGATGGTTTTTTTCTTTTATAGCCCGTTGATTGCTATTTGAATTCTTCGACAGATTGTGAGACTTCGTCGTAAATATATTTCTTTGAGCCAATAGAAAGTGTTTTGCGAGAGAGTTGAAAGCGATCAGATTTAGTTTTGACAAAAGCAACCAAATGCTTACGAGCGTTTCTGACTGAGCGGGAGAAGTCCTGTGCGATACTGTAATTAGTCCCTTTTAATTTTCGAGCATTAGAAAGAACAGCTTCTTTCGTTTTGTAGAAGCTAAACTTAACGATGATGGGGTAACCGCGCTCGATAGGGTGACGGCTTAGGCGACGAACCCTTTCAATTTCATTTGGATTTATTGTAAAGCCAAGGTGGTCACGACAGTGCTGTATGACCAATTCTTCGGTTTGGGTGTAACTTTCTGAATTACTAGGCTCGGGCTGGCCATAAAATACCAAGTTGTTCCACCGGGATCGATTTTCGGCATCGTCAAAACTTGTCTCAAGTTCGAATACTTGGCGAGCTGTCTGGGCAGTGTTGGATTTTATGTTGTCTATTTCTGTGCGAAGCAAAATAAGGCTCTGAGAATGTTTGTCAACATCCTTTATCCGCTGACTCAACAGGGCGATAGTTTGATTTGTGGTTAGAAGTTGGTCTTTCAGGTCACTGACATCTGAAATTAGTTTGGACTGACCAGCTGATATTTTATGCAATTCGTCAAGTATAGCGGTTGTGTTAGGACCCGGATTTGACTCGTTGTCGCCCGATAACATGAGCAAGGAACGAATGACGTCAGCACACTCAACAACAATTAAAAAGCAGCACCGTGGGTTCGGCAGCTGTAGCAAAAAGTAGTTGCTTGATTTCTTTGAGAACAGAGCGTACGGTTTACTAACCTGCATGGCAAAGGTAAGCAGGTTACTGCTCTGTGCTGTAGCACAGCTGTTGAGCCCAGGAAGCACCGAAGTAGATCGCAGCTCTTTTGTAGGTGACAAACAGGTTGATGTTCCAGGCGATGCGATCTCCCACGGGGAAGTGAGGACCGAGTGTTCCAGGGTTAGCGCCATCTGGTAGGTTGAGGTGCTGGCTTCCGGTTGGGTAAGGGACGTTGTTCGGTAGAAGGCTTGAGTTTCACAGCCATTTTCTTAAAACCGGCATGTCGACACTGTCTCGGTGGTGGCGAACGATAAGGCAGGCAACAGCACGCGCGAGATAGCAAGCGTGAATACCTGCATGGCAAAGGTAAGCGGGTTACTGCTCTGTGCTGTAGCACAGCTGTCGAGCCCACAAAGCGCCGTGGTAGATCGCAGCTCTTTTGTAGGCGACAAACAGGTTGATGTTCCAGGCAATGCGGTCTCCCATGGTGAAGTGAGGACCGAGTGTTCCAGGGTTAGCGCCATCTGGTCGGTTGAGGTGCTGGCTTCCCGTTGGGTAAGGGGCGTTGTTCAGTAGAAGGCTTGAGTTTCCCAGCCATTTCCTTGGAACCGGCATGTCGACGCTGTCTCGGTGGTGGCGAACAATAAGGCAGGCAACAGCACGTGCGAGATAGCAAGCGTGAATACCTGCATGGCAAAGGTAAGCGGGTTACTGCTCTGTGCTGTAGCACAGCTGTCGAGCCCAAATCTATTTAGTATAAAGCAAAAGTTGGGCACATATTTAGTATCTATTTAGTATGAAGCAGAAGTTGGGCACATTAAACAAGGGCGAGACTTCAGTATTACTTGTAGATGACCTATATTATTCAGGCAATTATGTGTGCAAGTCATGGTCACACAGGAGTGGGGCGGGGTCCTAACTATGTCATGGTGGACCCGAAAGCAAATTTTCACTCCTTGACCTCAACCATTTTTCATCCTTAAAATGACGCAAAGGAAAGAGCAGAGGTCAATAGGTGGCTCTGAGTTCACGAGTTTTAATAGATTAGCTGTTTAGGCAGACTGCTGGCTCATTCAGAGAGAAAAAAGGACTACTGTTATCACAAACAGGCATCAGTCTCCTTCCTCTGCGGCTTTACTCCCAAAATGCGCGCAGCACTTTCATACGCGTCCTATGCACCAGCACTGATGGGCAAGAGAACGAATGAAATTTGGCTGATCGCATGTAAAGTCGCAATCGATGTTCTGTGAAAAAAGAGGATTGAAGATGAATTTGTTTTATTTTTTTGAATCAGGAAGACGCTATGTAAGTGGCGCTAAATATATGTAGGAATCGACGCAAACTCAAACGTTAAACGACCACATCTGCTTCATATGAACAGTTTTTTACAGTTGCGTAACAATGCCATTATGAACATAGACATTAGCAATACCAGAAGAGGTAAACTGATATGAAGCGCTGGCGCGCAGCGAGGATTGTAGCTCCACAACACTGCTACACAAATCAACTTCAGCGGTTGATTTCTAACTACAATTTACGTTAACAAGACATGACGAGCTGTATCATAAAAGCACATATGTATTGTTTCCCAAATAGGATAGCCAGTACTGCAACTACAATTGACGTTAGACAACGTCAGGGTTTGTTTGATGAGTATATCCAAGAGCGATGCGTGGCTCTGTGGTAGAAGACATTAAAATAGTGAATTGATGGGCAAGTTGGTTTAAAAGGAAAGAAGACTTCTTAGAAGAAAGACACTCAATTTGCGGCTGAGTTAATTTCTTGAATCGTTTCACCACGAAAACAAATGTGCACGCAATCACAGCAGATTGTCACACAAGCAAAAAGCGAAATTGCGGTAAGACACGCGTTAACAATCTATGATAAGAAAGATGAAGTACGTTTGATTCGTTTGTAGGCTTGACTGCTTTAAAGTAGCCTATTGCCTACAAAGTCAGATGCCCCGAAGGTGCACTGATGCACGCTTGTGCATCTGTTTCACATTTGAAATCTCGGTCACACCTGCCTTTCACTCTACCCATGACGCCTGACTTCTGAAAAAGAGCATTGCAGCCGCATGTATTGCAATGCGTCCAATCCTCCAGAGCAGAAATCATGGTAGAGAGCTCTTTAATTTTATTATTAAAGGGACTCTGCAACATTTTTTGAGCGTGGTTAGAAAACACTGCCGATCGGTTGTAGAGGCTTCTGACAAAACGCGAGCCAGACACTATAAAGCAACACCAATGCCTGGAATTCACAATGAATTATCCAAGAAAGCTAAAACTTGCTTTCTTTTCCCTCGAGAAATTAGAAGAGACGTTCAAAAATCAAAGGCAGCCCCCATTTATTAGCGATTGGCTGATTTGAATACGGCGTGCGCCGTAGCTACCGAGATCACCGTGGGAGGGCACGACTTGTCTGCGCGAGTGCGCGACTTGTCTGCGCGATCACTGATGAAAAGCCGCGTATTCGAAGAAGAAATAAAGTGCTCAAGGTGACGAGGCATGGGTGACGTGTGTTCTTTGCCCTTTCCATCCCTCCCTGCTTATCTTCCAGTGGTATTACCTGGACGAAAGCAGAAAAAAAATTGCCCGCAGCTTCCCTCGGGGGAACACTGAGGAGAATGCGGAGCATATAATTGGTTAACGGGGTGTTAAAGTGCGACTTACTTGGGTCGATGGCTAAATTGGTTAACGTGGTTGTGAAATGGGGTGTTAAATTGCGACTTACTTGGGTCGATGGCTAAATTGGTTAACGTGGTTGTAGGAGGGGGTGTTAAATGAGTGAACACGTACACACGTATGCGAAAGGGCGGCGCTGGTCGAAGGGACGTCGATCATTGTGTTTGTGGATTCGTTGGAATTCATTTCACCGCGACCTTGGACGTCGACGCGCCGTAAAAACCAACCGACGAGCGGCAACTGAGCGAGCGAGCGCCGACCTTGAGTATATATACAGCGCGACGGCGCATGCACTGTCAGCTGTCGAATGTTCGAGAAGGGGGAGAAGCGCAACGGCGCATGCGCGCGCGTCAGCTGCCGATGTTCTCGAAGCGCGACGGCGCATGCGCGCGCGTCAGCTGCCGATGTTCTCGAAGCGTGACGGCGCATGCGCGATACATTATACAGCTAGCGAATGTTCGTGAAGAGGAGAAGCGCACGCGGTGTGTAGAGGAGGAAGGGTGCACAGATGGTGGAGGAGTGAAGCGCGCGTGGTGTGTAGAGAAGGAAGGGATGCACGGATGGTGGAAGAAGGAGGAGGAAGCTTGTGGACGGCGCCGCACTACAAGTCTCGAGTATTAGATGCTCCGCATCTAAAAATGCGACTTCAGCGTGCGACAAATATTTATGACTCCAACCGTACTGGACGAATTCTCGAATTCTTCCGCTACACCCATGTTGTACGCACCACGTCCCAGGGATACAGAAAGTGAACCAAAGCCCGCGTTGCACGCCGTTGCTTCAGATACTGAGTGGCCTTCGCTGCCATCCGGAGCAATAAAAAAGACCACATCATGGGCTACAACTTTAAAGAGGACGGAAAATGACAGGTAAGACACTGAGATGAACCAAACTATGCTGAAGCATCTACTAAAATCTATTCGAGCCATTCTGAACGAGCTACAGACGCCAGGTGCGAAAACAGCAGTGCAGATCCTCAACGTGCCGGAACCGCTAATGCTTGCCTTTCCATGGACAATATCAAATTTCTTCGATGAACGTGTGCACACCTCTGCTCTAATGCAGTGGAACACACGAGGTTTGCGAAGCCGATTGGCTGACTTTCGACAACGGATGTTCAACTGCAAATTTCCGTTGGTTGTAATATGTAAGCCGAATGCGATGTCGTCGTTTCGGATTTCCGGATACGTCACTTTGTGGTCACGCGATGATCAAAATGCGAGCAAAGTAATTATATGCGTACGTCGAAACTTAACGTACGTGAGACATGCCGTGGCTCCTCATGCTTCTAACGACTATATTTGCCTACCTGTAAAGCACAAGTGACGTTCAATATCAGTCATTGGTGGATACATTCCTCCTAGAAGCCACGTGGACTGTTCCCGTCTCTTGTCTGCGCTCAAAGCTTCCACTGGACTATATGTATTAGTTGGGGATTTTAATGCACACCATCCAATGTGGGGTTCTGCCTCACTGAACACCAGTGGTAGGTACATTGCCGATTTTGCGCTCAATCGGGGCCTGATGTCCATCAACGATGGCTCACCTACTTACCTCCGTGGCGCATGTACAGCAGCTGCCTGGTCGTATGTTTTCTGAGTGGAAGTGTCTTGCCTACCACCTGTTGGTTCGTAGACGTTAAAACACATATAAGTGACCATCTCCCTACATATATAAAGCCAAAAGGATTCCGTAGTTCAACTCCCCTGCCTGTGAAAAGCGTAGACCGGCCAGGATTCCAAGCTTCTGCAAACGCTTAGTATGAGAACATTCAATCTATAGAAAGCCTCATTGCATCAGCCTTAACAACGCATATGAAACTTGTGAATGTATCACTACAAGATCACAACTTGACGCACAATACGAATACCTTCGTGCAATTCGTCACCGGGCAGAGAGGAAATACCAGCGCTACTGGAAAGCCATTTTCGGTTAACGCCACTCGGAATGCAACGAACAGCCACGTGCCAGAGACAGTTGCAAGGATCGTCCTGGATAATCAACGCCATCAGCACTCATCAACACTCACGGATTCCGGCGCATGCGCTCACCCGTGGTCGCCCCTCGCGGATCAGCCTATAAGTTCGTCACCCAGGAGCGCGGCGGCCATAGGGCACGGCAGCACCTTGGCCATGCGGATCCCTAACCACTTCGTATTCCTTGTGCAGGTAAGGAAACGTTTCGGTAAATGTATCCGCTCTAGTGACCGATGCCTGTTGGTGCTGCCGTGCCCCCGGCTGTGTGATTTGTTGTTTGAATGCTCATTGTTCGTGAGAAAACTGTTGTTGCTCGGCGGTGATGTAGAGACCGATTCCGGACCTGAGCTCTCTCAAATCATCAAGCAACTGAATGTAATTTCCGCAGATTATAAGGAAATTAAGGAACAGAGACTAGCGGATATTGAAAATAAACTGGACGCTCTAGGCGCACTAGAAGAAAAACTTAAAGCCTGCAACGACCAGGTTTTTGCGATGAATAGCACAATTAAAACGCTTGAGCAAAGAGTTGAGGAGCTTGAGAACCGCAGCCGTCAGTCAAACTTAATTATTTATGGCCTAGAAGAAATGAAAGACGAAACAAGCGATAAACTGGAGCAAGCAGTTAACAAAGGTATAATAGAAAGTGTTCTTGAGCTGGAGCCGGTTCAAATTGAAAGAATTCATAGATTAGGCAGATATGCGCCAAACAAGACACGACCAGTGATTCTGAAGCTTCTTGACTCGAGACAGAAAGGGAGTATTTTGAAGAATTGCTTCAAGCTCAAGAATACTGGCCTCTCTATAGGGGAGGATTTCGCTCGCAAAACCCGTGAGACAAGGAAAAAGCTTTGGGACAGCGCCAAAACTAATCAGAAAAAAAATACAAAGTCGCACTAGCATACACCAAGCTTTATATTAACGATGTCGCTTTTGTCTGGGACGACGAAAAGGGTGAAAGGGTACCAGTACAAAAAAACGGCACAGTAAACCGCCCGAAGACCCGACAACACGCCCAATCAAAGAAATAACGTTACTA